ATTTTCGGTCAGGAGCATCGATCAAGAGGTGACCGATACGAGCACATCGATCATCAGCATCGATCAGGAGTGATCGGTACAAACGCTCCAAGTTAATTTTGGTCACTACATCGACCACTTCCCAGACCGATGTAACTCTACATCGATCAACCCTGGCCGTTGTAACTGATCGATGTAAACCCAATCCGAACCTGTTTATTTACACTTTTACCATTACTCTAGGGCTTCATTCCTTAGGTTATAAATAGCCTATTTTTCCAGATTTTCGACAAGTCTTGTTAAATTACTGTTCTTAAGTATTTTCTTTGAGTTTGTAAGACAAAACTTTTGCTTTATTTAATATATTTGAATATTTGCCTTTAATTTTTCATTATTCTCTCTTCTAATCATGATTAACATCCTTTTCCTTTGTGATTTGGTGTTAAACATGAGTATTAGTGAGTAGTTTGCTTAGAGTTTCTAGATGTGGTAGATTAGGGGAATTTATGACTTGATTAAGGGTTGTTTAGTGCTTCAGTTTATGGGTTCCTCTCTATTAATCTGTTCTTAAACTAGATTTGTCTTGATCACACTTATCTAGGTTGTTAGCTTTCTCTTATGCCCACCAAGTGTTTGATGAAATGCTGATCTTGTTTAATAGAGGATTTGATGGCATTGGCTCAAGAGATTGACTGTTTGAGGAGCATCTTGACTGAAATAGAGTTGTATATTAATGCTTGATTAATTTTTTAACACTAATGAGAGTTAGTTCTTGTTAAGATGTTTAGCAAATGGCTATTTTACAAGAGATTGGATCTAGTTTGCTTGATTGTGAACTCTATGTCTAGGAATCACGATTGCTAGCTTGTTTGCTTGATCAATGTTGTTTGAAACAGCCTTAGTTAGTCTATAAATTCTCCAAAGTCAATAACTACATCTAGGAACTCGCTTTTCTCTTATTTGAATTTCGGATTTGCTCTGTTTTGCTCTGTTTTGCTTGCTTAGTTTTGCTTAGTTTGCCTTTATCTATACTCTCTTTGCTGCTTGATCATATTAGAGTATTAGATTGGTTGCTTAGGCAATAAAAACACTTCTCTGCTTGCTTGACTTAGAGATTTTTACTCTCAACTCTTCTGCTTTCAACTAAAACCCATTTGGATTGATAAAAATCCTATGCTATACTACAACTGACTAGTACAAGCTTGGGTGATTGAATCAAGACCTCAAAAATCTTGTATCACAACCAACAAACCATATCATTGTCTTAGCTTACTTTCACCTCAAAGAATCATAGTGTAACCTTGGTCCTTATGGATGCGATCCCTACATTACTACAACACTTGTCGTGCACTTGCAGTAGTTTATATAGGGTTAAAACTATGTGGATCAAGTTTTTGGCGCCGTTGCTGAGGACCAATTGTGTTGCCTGAGAATCTAAGTAATAGCTCGTTTATCAGTCACGGTATGGATAAATTGATTGAATGTTTTAGTTTGACTTTTATTTATTTTTTTCTTTTTTGTTACCTAATGTGTCATGGAAACGGGTGTGTAAGTGTCAATTTCTTGTGAGACACGCTCAATTTTTATAAAATATACTAGGAGAAGGTCTGCGCGTTGCATGTATTTGTGATAATTTAAATGCTTTAATTTTATGATTTATTTTATAGTATTTTTAATAAAGTTTTGTCGGTAAATATTTTTTTAATTTGTGAATACCATGTGGTTTTATTTTTGTATTGAAATATTAATGAAATAATAATATATAAAGTGAATGAGAACTTTTTTTTATTCATCATAAGCATATAAAATATCAAATTATTTATTTCTTCTAACAATAAAAACATGTTATTTTTGCTGTATAATTAATCTGAAATATATTTGTGGTGAAATTTGTGAATCTAAAATAAAATGATAATATTTTTTTTGACACTTGTAGATTATCAAAACATATAGCACAATTGTCGTATTTTTCTTGTGTAACTTGTGTTTGTTTTCTAAGTCTCCAATTACAAAATAAACATCTAGTCTTTTTGATGCATTTGGACTGAAATCAGGAATTTCCTAAAAAAAACTTTTGAGGCATTGTGCATTATGTAGTCGACATGATAGTATAGATGTCTAAATAAAGTTTATTAAACTCTCAGTTAATATACTTGATGTTGTGTCATCCATATCATGATGAGTGATGTAGAAGTTAAACGCATCTTTAAAGATAGAGTTATTTGCTTGTACTATTTGATCGGTGCTAAAAAGAATTGTATAGTCGATGATCTATTATTACGGAGTGGATGTGTGATTTTGAGACAAAGTTATTTGCTTGTACTCACCCCTTCAGCTTTGCCTCAAATCTTATTGACAAACCGTTTAGAATGATGGCAGAAATGATGAATGATGGTAGAGATGATGGTGGAACTTGGGATTGACTCTCTCAATCCTTGGGATACTGATTCACTCATACATTGGAGAACTTTTTTTGTCTGAATAACACAAATATTTACAATCATATAATCTAAAGAATCAGATGAATTTCTGAAATAGAACTAAACATAAATTGTATAAACAAAAACATTCTTTGAATAAAAAGAAATCAAACTCTATATTATAATTTATGTTGATTTACAAATAAAACAAAGCTAAGCTTATACGTGCTTGATCTACATGTCTTATACATTAACTTGAAGAGAAAATTATGCAAAATTCGTAGAAGAGGTTAAAGGGATTTTCAGCCATTTGATGAGTGATTGAGAAATGGGCTGAATGAAGGGTATTTGTTGAATTTTATCTTGATATCTTGATGATGAATTGTCTCCACAAGTAGTTTTTGTCTTGGATCAAGAAGAGGAAGAGCAGTTGGAGAGTGATGGCACCACGTGTGAATGCATCCATATATGGTAAGTTTATAAACAATGGGATCTGCTTGATCGTGTGAGTGCTGGTGTAGGGAAAGCTGCTAGCTGACTTTTCTGGATGGTTGGATGTGCCTCTTGAATGCTTAGATATTTCTTCTGGTCACCAAAGTCTTGTTTGTAAGTAATTAAACCTGTGAGCTCCCATATAAGGCAAATAGAGAATCCACCGGTTTAGAAGTTGAGTAACTGGTAAATCGTAATGAATTTTGTCATGAATCCAACTATTCGTATGCTTATGATGAGTTCAGAATCCAAAATAATTGGATCTTTTTCTTGGTTCATCCTTCTTTGGCTGGAGTGATTCGATGAATGATTGTATATCTCCACCGAGTCCATTGAATAAATGCCAAATTGTATCTTTAATATCTTCTTCATATGAAATTCTTTTTGGCTGATTCTTCTTTGTGGTAAAGTCTAGAAGTGTTAAGCATACTCTCCAAGTTTTGGTTGAGTTGAAAAGTTTTGTCTTGGCTTCCATTTGAGCTGAACTTAGCTTTCATGTCTCCTTAGCTTACATCAACTTCATGCTCTCCTCCTCATGCCTCCTGGTTCCGTTCTTTTAGGTTGATGATGACTGAATGTCCTCATCACTGTTCATCCGACCTCTTCACCTTGTGAGCTTTAATGTTTTACTTATACTTTTCTTGGCGGGGTTTTTATTGACTCTGCGAGTCCTGTCGATTAGGCCTGCAGCCTATAGAATTTTTCAACAACCATGGTGCCGGATTTCTATTCTAGCTGAGAGTGTCCGCTACGCTTCATGTGAAGCCTACCAAGAAGAGATCTTGTTTAGTTGATCCCTCCGTTATTATGGAGCCTTGTAATTAGTGTTCAGAAAATCAATCCCAACAATATTATCTAATATTTTCTATAGAAAAAATATAGTTTAACAAGTGTTTAGATGCCTCATATCAAACTCTCTAAGATTGTGTTTCTAATCTAGTACTAAGTACAAGTCCAATGACTCCAACCACAATCATATTTATTCTACACATGAGGGGTGAAATTTTAATTGTTAAATAAAAAAATATAGATACAATTATTCTATTCTATAGTTTATATGTTGACAAAGAAATCTTTGGTAAATTTTATTTTTAAAAGTCAAAAAGATATTTGTTAAAAGTATTGTTGTTTGAGGAAATGCTCCAAAATAATCCAGAATAAGAAAATAATATGAAACGGTACTCCATTGAGAAAAAACTGTGAAAATAACCCATATTTTATGATTTTTTTTAAATACCAGTGCTACATTTCTAACTATTTTTACTTGTAGTCTAATGGCATACTGAATGCAGAGTACTGGCAGACTGATTGGTCTTACAATTGAATATAGACTATTGGCAGACTAAATGCAAATTACTGACAGACTAACGACAGATTAAAAGCATATTAGTGGATCCTGCTTATGGATCATTTGAAAAAGGTTCATGTTTGGTAACAAAATTACCAAATGAATAATTTCAAAAATTATCCCATTTGAGTAAAGTATATTTTTATTTTTGGCTAATTTCTTCTTTGAATTAACCCAAATTATGGTGTTTGTAAATTGTAACTGTGATTTTTTTTTACATCAAGAAGTGAATGGTTGACAAAAAAAAAAGAATGATTAAGGTTTAAATACTAAACTCGTATATTTAAATTATAAACTTTTCGAATTCATTTTTTTTAATTTTATCAATCTTTAGAAAAATATTATATGTTTCTAGAAAGTTTCTATAAATTCTAATGTGTTTACCATTAAAAATATATTATTTATTTTCCTCATTTGAAATATCAATTTATTTATATATAACTCATAATTTTAAAAATTTATATATCAACTCATGTCAAAATTTTAATTTCATATCAGTTTATTTCAATAATGTTTTTACACGTATTAAAATCTAATCAATTACACTCTTTTATTATTAACAAATTTGACGTATTAAATTTTATATGATAAATTTTGTTAACGTATTAAAATAATATAAACTCTTCTTGTAGTTTAGTAACAAAATAAAAAAATTACAAAAAACAATAAGTAAGAAAAGGAAACTTCAACTCTTGTCGCTATCTCACTAAACAAACAAGCAAACCCATTCGGCGTAGTTCACCCACCAGTACAACTAAAACTATATCCTAAAAAATAATAAAATCAAACTTACCAGTTTGTCACGTACCACACAACCCAGTCCTTCGCCAACCAACGTTCCTCACGTGCTTCGCCGGTTGGTACTCACGTGACCGGCAGCTTTCTAATAGCAATTCTCAATACATATATAATCTCTTCATACCAAAGCTACATATATAGTCTCTTCATACCAAAGCTACATAGCAAAGTCTATCCCAAAGCACAGTCCATCTTTATAATACACAAAAATGGTTAGTCACAAAGAGACCGTGTGTGTAACAGGCGCATCGGGATTCATCGGTTCATGGCTTGTTATGCGATTATTGGAGCGTGGTTACTTTGTCCGTGCCACTGTTCGCGACCCCGGTACGTATATATGTTCTTACAAACTAACTCGTTAATTAATTTTTCCTAAGATTAATTAAATCTATGTGTGGCTAATTTACGGGTTTTATTGGGTTATTTATATAGGAAATTTGAAGAAAGTGCAACATCTTGTTGATTTACCTAACGCCAAGACGCAACTCACTCTATGGAAAGCCGATTTATCTGATGAAGGAAGCTACGATGACGCCATAAACGGATGCGACGGCGTTTTCCATGTAGCAACTCCCATGGATTTTGAATCAACGGATCCGGAAGTAAGTTATAATATGAACCTCTTTTAGGTTTCATATCAACCCTAAAAGATCTTGTTGGTTAAATTTTTTTTTTTTTTTAATCAGAACGAAGTGATAAAACCAACAGTGAATGGAGTGTTGGGGATAATGAAAGCTTGTGATAAGGCAAAAACAGTACGAAGAATCATCTTTACTTCTTCTGCCGGAACTGTTAATGTCGAGGAACATCAGAAAAATGTCTACGTTGAAAATGATTGGAGTGATCTTGACTTTATCATGTCCAAAAAGATGACCGGATGGGTAAATATATATAAATTATATATCAAACATCACACTAACCCTAAGTTTATTCTTCTTCATAGTTATTTATGTTTTAATAAAATGTTTTTGGCAGATGTATTTCTTGTCGAAAACTTTAGCCGAGAAAGCAGCGTGGGATTATGCGAAGGAAAATGGATTAGACTTCATTAGTATAATTCCTACATTGGTGATCGGTCCATTCATAACAACATCTATGCCGCCTAGCCTCATCACCGCGCTCTCTCCTATCACTCGTGAGCTCTCACTTAATTTCTACTCTTTTTGTAAACTAAGAGATTTCTTGACCTTAGGCCAGGTCTTGCTCATAAAATCAATGTCCACTGAGCAATATTCTATTTTATAAGCCTAATAATCATAAATGGCAAGGAAAACAACCTATTTTTTTTTAAAGAACCTTAACGTCTAACCAAAAATTACAAAAAGTTATATGGACCCAATGCAAATACATCTTTGGCACATGCCAAGAACCGGATCGTAGGAAGATCTTTCTGGCTAGCGACTAGAGCATGTCAACTAGTCTCTTCTATCTTCCATCTTCTTTTGTTGGAATTTGAAATGTTAATTTTTTTTAAAAACGGTGAAAATGTTTCAGGGAACGAGGCACATTACTCGATCATAAGACAAGGGCAGTACGTGCATTTGGACGACTTATGCAATGCTCATATATTCTTGTACGAACAAGCTGATGCCAAGGGACGTTATGTTTGTTCCTCTCACGATGCCACGATTCTTAGTATCTCTGAATTTATTAGGAAAAAGTACCCCGAGTATAACGTGCCTTCAACGTAAGATTTATAGATTTAAATTACGGAGTTTAAGCCTTGTTTTGCTTAAGCAATCAAGATCGTTTGCTGAAAAACTATTTGGAACAGGTTTGAAGGTGTGGATGAAAATCTAGAGAGCATTGTGTTCAGTTCGAAGAAGCTGATTGATATGGGATTTAGCTTTAAGTATAGTCTCGAGGAGATGTTGGTCGAATCGATTGAGACATGTCGTCAAAAGGGTTTTCTCCCGGTTTCTTTACCAGATCCATCAATATTTGAGGACAAAGTTCCGACTAGTGATGACAAGATTGAGCACAAAACCGGAGCTGGTTTACCCGATGATGTGGTGCCCTGTAAGAAGACAGAACCGGTGGTAATCCGCGAGAAAACCGATGCTTGCATGCCGGCAGAGCAGATGTGTGCTTAGAGATTTAACCGGTATCTATTATATATCAATTGTCGTATCGTTTTAGTATTGGATGTGTGTTTTGAATTTGTTACTTTCTGAATCGTAGATTATTATTGAAGGGTGGTATGGACTGATTCTGATAGTAACATGATTGAGTGTAACATTATGAACTTTTACATATTTAAGAAGCAGAGTGATATTTAAACAATGTTGCCTTGAGTCAAATTAGTCGTGTAATGTCGCTTGAATGCTTCCATAATCTATAATTAGACAATTTCAACATCTCAATCGCAGGCATGCATTTCTTAACAAAGAGTTATATATTCGGTGGTCACTGGAAATATTTTATACATATATAATATAATTTAACTACTATGCAGATTACAGAGTATAAGAAAACAATTCTTGGCTAAATAGATTTTCAGTTACAAAATAAAGAAAAACCAAATGACTGAACTTTTTTTATTTGAAGAACAAAAAATGAAAATTTAGTCGTTCGAGTTAATTTACGGATCCTATCAGCTAAAAATAATTTAGTTCTGTTGAGATGTCCATGCTTTTTTTGGAATTTGGATTTTCCTTTTTCCATATGTGAAACCTTTCCATATACCAAAAACTCTATCATCAAACTACCCAGCCTTTGTATCTCTATGCCAAAAAAAAAAAATTAAACAAAATCTTTAATTTGAAGTCGGACTGTCGGAGTATATGGTTTTTCTTGTACGTACGTTTTCCAAATGCTTCAGTAAATTGCTCTTCGAAGTCTTTCATCGTCAGCTGGAAAGAAATACAAAAGTGATTCCTCTTGTGCCTCAAATGTTCTTTTGTAGCTTAGGAGAGGATATTGGGAGATGGGTTTTAAAGAATTTTTCAAATTTTGAGATTCTATTGTTTATAAATTTTTAAAATCTTAATAGTTAATATTGTTATTGGTTGAAAGATTTTAAAATTCTATCCAAAATCCTTTGTTATTTAAAAAATTTAGCTTTTAAAGATTTTATGATTTATTAAAATCTTGTGTTATTGGAACATGAATTTTAAACAATCTAACTTATAAAATAATTCTTTCAAAATACTACCTATATAGCTTAGATTCTCAAAGTCATTATAATAAAATATTTTGATAGATTTTTTAAATATAAAAACTCTTTCCAAATTTAACAAATATTTTTTACAAGTTTAACAAATCTCCCAACTCTTGAAATCAATCAAAACTTTATAATTTCATCTCTTAATGACCCTCCCTTACTCTTTGCTTTTTGTTGTTTGTTTCTCAATTCCAACCAGACAATTAATGGAAGAGTTGCTGACTGTTTCTCGGTAGCTTATGAGATTAAAAACTCAGAAATCCTATAGATCTTTTGTGCTCTGATATCATATGGTTAGACTTAACCTCGTGCGATCATTCAAACTATTGCATCAAAAACTACACCAGTCGAAATTTGTAAATGTAAAAATAGTAGGATCTGGTTCATCTTTAATAAAACAAAAAAATTGAACGACCTTTTGAAAAATAACCAAGAATTTAAGCTAAAAGAGAGTGTCAAAACGGTTTCAACGTAAATTAGAGAGATTATTGCAAAAATGACTCAAAATTTGAGTTAAAATGCGAATCTAACACACAAAATTCATCTTCTCAACATTAGCCATTTTGTGTCCAAACAATCCTTCTCAATTCTAATTATTTACGAAATTGTCATTATTTCAAATTAATTTCTTTTATTTTTGGATATCAAATTGACCAAAAAATGCCATCATCATCAATTCACCAACTACAATTTTCAACCAATTTCGAGCTTTAATGGCACCAAAAATCCATTTTTGAGCTTGGATAGCTCATTATTTTTCTCTTAAGTTTCTATTCTTCCATTTTCTCTTTATTTTCTTCCTAAAAACTCTATAATTTGATTATTTAAAAGTTCAAGTTCATATATATTTCTATATTCCGGCGAGTTGGTCATTTTTTGCGGTTGTGTCTCCTTCATGGTGGCTAGAATCGAAGATCTCGAATAGAAAAGAAGCTAGAGACGAGTGGTAAGTCAAATTTTCAGTCAATTTTAGTGTTTTTCAGTTCTGGGCTGCGAAAGTAGACTTCTCTTCACCACTGTGAAGTTTACTAGTCAACGCCCAAGTTAGTTTTGCAATTGACCGCATGAAAAATGTAGACTTCCTTTGGTCCAAATGAAGTCTACTCCATTTCCTTTGATAACAAAAAATGGCGTAGACTTTTCGAGTAGACTTCTTTAGAGGCAGGTCATTTTTGCAATTGACCAACCTTTGACTTTGTAGAGTAGACTTCTCCAAGACAAGTAGACTTCTCACATGTCATTTTTGCAATTGAAAAATCTTTGACTTTTTGGTCAATTGCAAAAATGACCTGTGAGAAGTCTACTTTCGGAAGTAGACAGTAGACTTCTCTGAGAGGTCTACTTTTCGTGGAGAAGTCTACTAATCTTTTGGCAATTGCAAAACTAACCTGCGAGAAGTCTACTTTTCTCTGAGAAGTCTACTTTACTTTGAGAAGTCTACTTTTCTTGTTTTTTTTAAGAAATTCATTTTTATACAATATATAACGAATTTTTAAGATTTTCGTGATCCTAAGCTTCTGTTAGTAAGTGTTCTTGCCTATGCATAAGTTTTACATGTTTATATTTTATAGGTATACTCGAATCAGTTTTTATGTTTTATATCATACTTAGCTTCTTGATTGCAGACTTCTCCAAGAAGTCTACTCAAGAAGTTTACTATGTAGACTTCATCCGACTTTCAGAGAAGTAGACTTCATCCGACTTTCAGAGAAGTCTACTTATTCAATTTTGATTTCTAATGTGGTTTGGATTTTTTGTTTTACAGCGAATGGTTCACATACCCGCTGTTTATGGAGAATGGTTGAGGAGTGAATCAGTGTGGCAGTTCGAGGTGGATAATAGCAAAGGAGGGCGTATGTTGTTCTTAATAGATGACTGCACACATGGTGAGCTTCTTGGAATGATGCAAGAGGATTATATGCTGGAAAAGGAAACAAAGGTGGATTTATCCTATTCCTTACCACCTCTGATGCTTCAACAAATGCCTGCTGATTCTCCGCCTATGCATGTCACAAACGATAGACACGTTCAGAGCTTGATTGAGTTAAGTAAGATGCATGGTGTACGCCTTTGCGTTTTAAGTAGGATAGTAGACCATGAGAATGATGATGTGGGTGGACATGCAGATAAGTGCTCTGATGCTGAAGAAGATTGGGATGAAGACGCTAAAGACTGGGATGAAAACATTAAAAATGAGGATGAAGCTGATAGTTGATAGGGTCAGGTTTTATCCAAATAAAACTACTGCAAGTGCACAGCAAACGCAGTTGTAGTACAAGGGGTTATCGAATCCCAATGGAGTATGTAAACCACACTAGCGATTATAGATTCAGATTAAGCTAAGCGATAAATAATGAATGTAATGCAAAACAGTAAAATAAATGCAAGAGGGCGTTTTTATGCTTGTTCTTAAAGTTCAGAAGGCTAAAGGCGCTAAGTCAGGACAGTTCGCAGGTTGAATCCGAGAGTGTAGAATGCATGCAATCAGGAATGAATTAAAACCGTCTTGAACATGAATCACAAAGATATAACTAATCAATTCTCATTGCAGAAGTTATCTATGTCTAAATCAGAGAGTTTCAAATCTCTTTGCAAACCCTAACAACCTAAACATGCAGTAATGATCAGGTTCAATTGTTCACAAACTCCTAAGCCAAATCTCTTTGTACTAGGGCGTTTTGCTCATCTAATACTAGTTCAGGTTATCAATAATGCTCTCACATCTATCAAACAACCTAGGGTTTCGAATTCCTAGTTGATGTGTCTAAGAAATCGATATGAATGCAAGCACAGATGAAGAACCACTGAATTTTCCTAATAGTTTAGCAATTCTACAAACTCTTCTTCAACCTTTGAAAAGCCCTAACTTAACTAACAAACTACTCAGACATGGTGATTTTAGAAAACATCATGAAAAGAATAGATTGCATAAAAGAAATAAGAAGTAGAAATAAAGGAGTTCGAAATCTGCTCTGAAGGAGTCTGATTTGTCTCTCCAAAAGCTCTGCTACAAAAATCTCTCTCTAAAGCTCTCAAAAATAATAAGATACAAGATATCTGCCAAAAGAATGGCTGAAAAACCTAATATACAAGCTAAAACACGATTTGGGGCCTTTTTGCAAATACTGGAACTTTTGGGCCAAAACTGCAAATAATCTCTATATTTTAGAAAACAGCCACGACCCCTTCCTTTCTGGGTGACGAGCATCACCCATATGCATACTTTTCTTCTTCGAGCTAGGTACTTCGTGGCTTCAACTCATAATGCTCCAAAAGGTTCCAAAATCTCCAATTATGCTCCAGACATGCTATAACCTGCAAAGATTCTTCTAGGACTCTAAAAAGACCAAAAAGACTCAATAAAAAGGACTTATATCATGGTTAAAAACCATAAAAACTATGATATATCAACTCCCCCAGACTTAGCTTTTGCTTGCCCTCAAGCAAACATCAGACAAAGAACAAGGTCGAGGTTTGAAAACAAGAAACAGTCAGTCAGTCATCAGGAACACAATACTAGTTAGAGATTTCGAATCCACATACCACATAGTCAACACTAGATCAAATTTCAGTTTAATCATCACAAGCTTAGCAAATCTCTCAAGTCCAGTCCAAATCCCTTCAAGAAATCCGAAATTTCTACTGTCAACTCCTTATTTTAATCTAAGTGTGATATCTCATCAAGGTTCTATCATCTCAATCACTTTACAGATTCTTTTCCCTTCCTAACATCTGAACAAATAGATCACAACACAGCTCTCCTATTTTCTCTTCCCTTGATCTTTTCCTTTGGATATTTTCGATTTTTCACTTTTTTTTCTCAACATTTACAGTCTAAGATATGGTGCTACTCAATACTTGTGTTCCTTGTGAGGAGACAGGTTCTTGATGTGTTCACTACTGTTGTTCCTTGTGAGGAGACAGGGTCATGAATGCACCATTCTTTGGACTTAATCTTTTTAAAACTACATCAGGGAAGATCAAAGAGAGACTGTATCTTAACCTTATTGTCAGTGCTGAAAGAGAGAATCAAGATCAATAAGAATCAATCACCAAGACAAGAAGTTTAAAGTATATCAAGGTGGAGCTAACAGCAAATTTTCCAGATTCTCTAAGAACCTAAACCTTCATTGCTAGACTGATCTACCTATGACTTTCAACTTAGTGAGACTTGTAATCAACTACTGTGGCAATGGTT